GGACCTAAAGAAGTGTGCAGAGCAAGACCAGGGCGCCAGGGTGAACGAGGCAAGGTTGGCCGTCGGAATTCTCAGAGGACAGCCCTGTTATCCTCAAAGAATTAGCAAGTGCATTGCTGTGATGGGGAAAAAAATTCCTCAAAGTAACTTTCCCGGCCTGTTTTCCACCAATGCACTTTTCCATTTTCTCAAAACTTCTTCCTAATAAGCCTCCACGAAGGTACTGGGTCCTGCAGGAAAATCGATGAAAATGACCCCTTTCAGATCCAAAAAGAACAAGAACAAGACCTTGTACGCTAATGCCCTTACTTGAACAGGCCTGGCCCAGCAGAGTACCTCAGCAGTTGCTTCTCGATTGGACCTTGCTGTTGGAAGGCGCCCTAACAAGACGAAGTAAAACGCATGACTGAGAACTTGCCTGCAGTCCTCCTGTGTTTTGTCTGGACTCAAGCCAGGCATGTATGAACTAGGGCAGGAGCTACAGTCCTGACCTATCTCCCTGGAGAAGACTAAGCCATGAGTGGACAGAGGAGGCAGGGTCAGGACAGGAGAACCGTGACATCAGGTATGAGGTACCGGCAGAGACCTCAGACTTTCCCTCAGGTGAGTGTCGGGAAACGTGTGCCCCTGGCAGCCTCACGCAGAGTCCCCCAGTCATGGCCCTCCCCACCCCATAACCAACACCGCCTTGAGGGGCTGCACCAAGACACAGGCACCGGGCGCAGGAGCCTCCACCCACCCCAGGGCCGGCGTCTCCTGCTGCAGACCCAGGCCGAAATTTATTTGTGCAATCTTTTTTTTTTAATATTCATGGGTCACAAAACTGCCTGTGGGTATTAAACCCAGGATTAAGACATCAATTAACTGAGGCCTGAATGCTCCACTGATTAAAATAGTAGCAAGACAGGATGAGGTAGCTCCAAACGCCATCTCTGAGTTTCCGAGTGCCAGTGCTGAACGAAACCCATTAAAGGGCAATCCATCGCTCCTGGAGATGAAGCTGCAGGGGACGGTTCTGTGAGGTCCAGGGGGCAGGAATTTAATCCAACAGGGCACCCACCCCCCAGTCACGCCTCCCACCACCTCAGTCCTCTCCAAGAAACCAGAGACGGAAAGAAAGGAGTGGTTCTATTGACCTGTGATTTAATGTGATCCTGTGGCCTGCTTGTGGGCAAGGGCCAGGGTAGCACCCTCCGAGCCTGACCACCCTGGCCCCTCAACCTGATACTCCATAGCCCATCTCCGGCCTTCTGGCAGATAAAGACCCCTCAGGTTCTCACTCCTCCCTGGGAGCCCCCCTTTCTACCTGGTTTTCTAGGATAGCGGAGGGTTAAATGTCTACTCACTGGAAGACAAAGATGAACCACCCTGCTGGAATACTTTCCACCCAAGCGTCAGAATCTAGGTCATTATCTCCGAGTCTCTTCTAATTTGGGACCAGCTATCCAGGACGCAGGAACCGGGTGCATCTTGGCCCCTGGACCATGTGCCCTCGGCAGCTCCCACGGACACCAACAAGCAGGGGAGTGGAAGTCGATGCCACCCTGCTGCCTCATTAATACATGCAGGACCCTGCTACCCTGCGCAATGAACAGCTCTAAAAACAGCAGCTGACTCAATCTAGCACGTTCGCACTTTCGACCCAAGAATATGCACGGCAATTGCTGACAGGCTGGCTCTTCGATGACGCTTCCAGAGCTACTTAATGGAAACCAAGGAGGGGCCGACGCTCAGGCTGGGAGAGCAGCTGCCTTTCAGTCCCTGCCCTACCTGCGGATCAGTTTAATCCTGCGCAGAGCCGGCAAGCGGCCCCCAGCCTACATTATGGACCTAGGAGGCCTGCTCTCATTAAATCTCAACTTTTGACCTTCCCATGTGAACGTCATACCTAACCGCAGAAAAGACACGATCAGCTCTGATCTCGTGTGTGGGAGGGAGAGGGGGGCGGAGGGGGAGGGGGGGGTATGATTATAGAAGAATTGACAGGAAATCCAAAGAGCGCTGCTTGAGAGAATGGAACACAATAAAACAGTCACAGGAAGGAAATGAATGGCACCCAAACAAGAGAGCGAGAAGGGAAGTGTCCCTGTGGGCCCGCGCAGAAGCTGCTTGCTGCCTCCTGGTCAGAGGCTCTGGGAGAAGCCCCAGCCCTGGCCCAAATGCCCCCCAGAGCTGGGACGATGCATGTGGGTGGTGGGCAGGGCCCCACGGCTGTTACACAGTGCTCCTAGGAGCAGGACCCGGGCCCGGGGCTCAAAGCACCCCCTGTGCTTGCAGAGGTTTCAAACTGCGGGCCTTGTAGTGAGCTCCCTGGGTAACCACGACACCACCAGGGCTCTTCAATCACATAAATAAAATGCCTCTTTAAATAAGGTGCCCGGGGCTTAGCACAGTACCTTGTACCAGGAACTCTGACAGGACCAGGGCCATTGCAATTCAAGGCTGCCAGCTACTGGCGGACATCCTCTTTGGACCCTCGAGCCATCCTCCAGGAGACTCCGTGTCGTCAGCTAGTTCTACCACCCCGTTTCAGGGCAATGAAGCTGAAGCTCAGCAAGGCCAAGTGAGCCCCCAGTGGGAGCCAAGACTTCAGACACGCCGGTGTCCTGGCCCACACCAATGGCCTTTCCACCACAGCCAAGTCACTGTTTCCCACGGGACCTGGAGAGAAGTAGCTAACAGGACTCCAGGTCCACAGGTGCGCTGAGGAGTCCTGAGTTAATGTCACGGAAGCCCATGCTCTCTCAGGAGTGGGAGGGACCTGCCACCACACCTCTCTGAACATGTGTCAATTACTTCAAAAACCAAGCTCGTGGCCACTGACTGCCTTCCACCTCACAGTGATCCGACAGACCCAGGAGAAAGGCTCTGTGGGTTTTCAAGGATATAAACCTTTACGGGAGCAGAAGCCCGCGCCGATCTCCTGAGGGGCTGGCTGGCGAGGTCAAACTGCTGGCCTTGCCACTAGTGGCCCAGTGCATCCACCACTCAGTCCCCAGAGTTCCTGTCAGTGAATCAGAGGGTGAGCACCCTGACGACAGTGGGCTTCAGGGAGAATGGTGCTGTCACTAGGGCAGCCAGGACCGGGCTTGAAGCACATCCCTTCCCCCTGCCCCTGAGGGGGTACAAACAATGTGACATTTCCAAAATCCTTCTACTGTTACGTAGTTCTCATGCCAAATAAGTTCTTCTGCTGCTGGCTTTAAGGACCTCGGAGGTCTTCTATGAACGTGGAATCTACCTCAGAGATTTGGAAATGTCACCGGCATGAGAGCGTGCTTGCTTCAAGCTCCTGATTTGTCCCTGGGGTCCGAGTGCGTGGCCCAGTGGTGGGTGGTCTCCAGACACCCCCCCCCC